TAATATAACTGCATGTATGGTGACGTCTCGTCACCACTCATTGCGCGCGTCTTGCGGCGATTGGTGGGTTGATATCATCACGATATCGACCAATGAACAGACCCTTTGGTCGACCCTTCAATATCACCACTTTGGTGATATTGTTTAAAGAATATCCATCTTTATATTCTTTATTGTCACTTTCCTTAAAGTGACAATTTCATGTAACGGGCTGCCCCGTTGCAGTATTTGCTTACGGCTAGACAGGTACATGCAAGACATACACGATGCAGGGCGATCTGCTTCCAGGCTGTGAACCGGCTGGTATCATTCCCCATACTGTGCGCTGCATTTTTGACGCTCTGGGGGCCAGTGGGGAAGAGTTTAGTGTCCGAGTATCGTTTCTGCAGCTCTACAATGAAGAACTGAAAGATTTATTAGACCCTGACGCAGACAAGAAGCTGCGGCTGATGGAAGATGCTAAGAAAGGAGGATTCCATTGCGTGAATTTGCTGGAACTCACGGCAACGACAGCGAAACATGCGTGTGAACTAGTCAATTCTGGCGTCAAGAACCGAGTTACGTCCGAGACTTTGATGAACGAAAATTCGAGTCGATCGCATAGCGTATTCACGATTCGGATCCATAGCAAAGAGCACAACGCGGCTGGTGAAGAATTGCTATTGCGGGTCAGGCAGCTCAATCGGATGGATCTTGCTGGATCCGAGTGTGTAGGTCGATCGGGAGCACGCAATGCCAGAGCGCGCGAGGCAGGGACGATCAATCAGAGTCTGCTCACGTTAGGTCGAGTCATCACGGCGCTAGTTGACAACCTTCCGCATGTTCCATACCGCGATAGCAAGCTCACGCGCTTGTTGCAGGAGTCTCTTGGAGGGCGGGCGAAACGACGATCATTGCAACGCTCGCCCAATGCGCAGATAGCCTTGACGAGACGCTTAGCACGCTGGAGTGTGCGTTCCGTGCAAAGTATATCGAGAACAAGCCTGAACTGAATCAAAAGATGACCAAATCGGGGTTGTTGAATGATTTTGAAAGCGAGATTGAGACACTTCGTGCAGCCTTGCGCGCTGCTAGACTGAATGACGGCGTGTACTTCCCGCTGGAACAGTTGACTGCAAGAGCGACTTTCCGGTGAGGCTGTACAATTGACTGAGCTGGAAGATATACTTAAGGCAAGAAACTCATCTTGCTAAGAGCCAGTGGAAGGTGCCGAAAAGAATGCGAGTGAAGTGGCAGCTCTGGTGTATGCAAAACAGGAGGTGGGTGAGAAACTGGCGGCAACACAAGTCCAGCTAAGTGAAACAAAGCAAACGCTGGCGAAAGTATCAAACGAGCTGCAGCGAGTACAAGTTGTGCTCAAAGCCTTCCAAGATAATGAGCACATGCTACTTGCAAACGGACTCACCGCTGCTAAGCTGTACGATGCTCGGCAAAAGCAGACTGTCCAGCTTTTGACAAAGATCGGTACGCTAATTTCTCGCTACACGCATAGTGCGTGCCGTCTTACACACTTTTTGTTCCTTTTCTTGCAGAGAGTACACAGCGTAACGACGAGACCAACACGGAACTGGCAACGTCGTATCGTAGTGCCTCGCAGTTCCAGATCAACAGCTTCTTGAAACGACTAGCGACACACAAGGAGAGTCAGGAAAAAATGTTTACTGACGTCTTAAGCGCTTTGCGCGAGCTACAGACGACTCAATCATCGGACTTGCATAGACTTGTCACAAATTTGAGGGCTGTGGAAGGCGTCGTAGAAGCGAACAGGTTGCAGGCAACTCAATCACTCGCTGAAGATGACGCTCAAAAGTCAGCACAACGTGAGGAAGTGGCGAATTCGATGAAGGAGCAGCAACAAACGATGCAGGAGCAGCTCAAGAAGCTTGTTGAGATGTACAAGTACCACGCGGCAGGTATCATATGAAACTTGACTGCATCTGAACCGCGAACTCTGTCATGCCTAGAAACTTCCCAGTCGACGCTAGATGAGTCTCGTGCAGAGCTGGGTACTTTTCTTGTGGAGCAAAGCAAGAAATTGCAGGAGCTGCAGGCAGTAATCGACACTTCAGTTCAGATACAGAGCAAGGAGCTCGACGAAAGCAAGGCAGTGGTCACGGCTGCGCTAAGAGACAGTCACGCTCGGCACCAAGAGGAGTTAAGTGGCCTCAAGACACATCTTGCTCAGTACATTGAAAAGTGCATCCAGAACGGGAACGAGAAGCTTGACGAGCAAACAGTGCTAATTCAAGAAAACGCGAAGCATCAACAAAACAGCTTTTGTGTGTGCAGACCACCACGGAGAAAGAGATGCAAGGATTCTTGCAGACGATGGACAGTCAAAGCGTGAAGCAAAAGAGTGAGGCAACTAAGCTTCACGAACGCTTTTCTGAAATGCGAGACCAACTTGTGGACGCGAAAGCACGCCAGACGGAGCTGATTCAGTCGCACGAACGACTGCAGACGACATGGTGCAACGCGACTACTAGGCTTGCCTTGAAGCACACGAAGGACATGGACTGTTTATCGGAATCACACTTGGAGTGTCATACGGCAACATCGAGAAAGAGGCGAGAACAGTTATCGCAGTTTGTACGTGAGCATGAAGAGCTTCAAACGCTTGTGAACGGGGGATGCAAAGCATTGGAAGAACGATTGCACGCTCAAATGTCGAACGCAAAGGGTAAGATCGAGCTTAGTTCAAAGCTTGGCAAAGATGTTGTGGACGAAGCTACGGCGGCGTCGAATCAGCCCCTGCAAGAAATGGAAACATACAGAAGAATTGAAAACGTACATGAAGAAACGAAAGGTGAGCATCTGCTTGATATCGCATGCTCGCACACTGTGACGAAGTGGTCGCTTTGGTTGCGTTGTTTCCACCTAGATCAATGCAAGGACAGGGTTCACGCCAATCAAGAAGGATGACCGGCCGTTTCCGTCTTTCCAGTCCACCAACTCTCCAGCTATGGCGTCGGACGCTGCGACCAACTCGCCCGTCTCCATCGGCTCGCCAAGTCCCAGCGAGCCTGGCCGCAAGCGACAGAGAACGAGTGATGACAGTCCAAGTGGCTTCGATCATGTCACGCGTTCAGCGGCGACCTGCGCCATGCCATTTCCACGCGACGCTTCAGTCAGCACCAAGACAAGCCAATCTGCAGTCGGCATCCCGACATCGCCCAGCAACCAAGACGCTCTGGACACTAGCAAAACGTCCTTCGTCGCCTGTGTCAATGCAAGGGGGACAAGCGTGACATCTGGCTTCACTGACGCCAAGTCCGTCGTCACTCCTTCGAAGCTCAAGAAAGCTGGAGTGTCTGGAATGCACAACAAGAAGTCGTCTGGTGTTGCCGTGACAAACCGAAGCATGAAGGTGCCAAGTGCTGGCGCAACGTCTCGCAAGACTACGGCAGCGTCATCGATAGCCGCTCCGAAACGGTACCGCGCCAAGTCGCCTCGGGGAGATCCGTCTTCACATGGTCGCTAAGGGGTCATTGGATACGTCTCCGCTTTCGTCGTTCGTGTGAGTGGCATGAGCGCTACTGTGATTGGTCGAAATCCGAGATCAACGCAACAGACGGTCTTGGTCTTGGAATCCACAATGGCGAGCAAAGAGACGGGGAAGGACTCGGACAAAGTCGAGGCACGAGACGCCGTGTCGGAGCTACCGCGAGGCAATCGACGCTATGTGACGGCGTTTCTATGTCTCTTTGTCTCGACCATCTGCTACGCTGACCGTATGTTGCGTGTGACGTGGGATCGCCTGTTGAAACGAGACTTAAGAGCTAACTGTGGCTCTGCTATCCGACACAGGGACCAACATGGGCATAGCGTTGCCGGCGCTCGTGATCGATAAGAAGGAGCAGGGCGAAGTGCTGTCGGCGTTTTTCTATGGCTACATGTGCACTCAAGTAATGCTGTCCATCGACTCGGTTATGCACAAGCGGACTGTCTTCTCATGTGTGTTAACTCGTGTGCCTGTAGATCCTCGGGGGGTATTTAGCTGCTAGATTTGGCGCGAAGATTGTGTTGCTCACTGGTGTTGTCGTCTGGACGCTATTCGTACGTACCTATGGACGCATGTGCGCTGGACATCTGAGGCGAAGTACCGTGCCAGTCTGACGTTGCTTGCTTGTTTATGCAGGATTTGTCGACAGTGGTCGTGGCAAAATGCCTCACGTGTCTGTTTTTCACGAGAGCAGGTATGGGCGTTGGAGAAGGCATCTTGTTCCCTTGCATGCACCAGATCGCGAGTGCATGGTACCCGGTACAGGAAAGGAGTCGTCTCGTGACGCTAGTTGCAAGTGGCTCCGATCTGGGCACCATCTCTGCACTGATCATATCGCCTGCGATAATGGCAGCCAGTGGCTGGCAACGCATTTTCGGTGTGTTTGGCGCTTTCAGCTTCGTCTGGGTTGTGGCGTATGTGTTTAGAGGAGCTAGTCGGCCAGAAGATGACCCACGCATCACCGTGGAGGAACGAACGTTCATCCTGCGCAACCGCATTGCAAATCCAAGCACCACCTGTCAACATCGCGCCGATCTGGACATCCATACGTTGAACTGGCGCGTGTTGCTAACGTCACGGCCTGCGTGGGCGATCTATGTCGCGCACATGTGCTACAACTACAGTTGGTATATCCTGCTGGGCTGGATCCCGCAGTATTTTGGCCAAGTCTTGAACCTTGATCTGACCAAGAAGGGCGGGCTCGCTGCGGCGTTGCCCTACATGTGCGGCTACATCGGGACTCTACTGTTCGGACGGCTAGGAGACCTGTTAGTCACTCGCGGCTATCGTGCACTGCATGTGCGTCAAGTCATGAATGCGTTTTCGTTCCTCGGATGCGCTTGCTTTCTCGTCCTGCTGCGATTCGCGAACTCAGCCCCCGCTGCAGTTGCCGTGCTGTGTATGACACTGTTCACCGGTCGCGCCGCTATGGCTGGATACTGGGTCAACATGATCGATGTGGCGCCAAACCACGCCGCGCACATTATGGGCGTCTCCAACACCTTTGGAACTATTCCTGGCATCATTGGCAATTTGGTCACAGGCGCAATTCTGCAAGCTACGGGATCGTGGGACCTCGTGTTTGCAGTTGCTGCGCTTGTCCTCGTCTTCGGCGCGACGTTTTTCCATTGCTGCGCATCGGATGAATCGATTTACACACAGCCGAGCTATGGAGAAGGGTACGACGGAAGCAGCGCAACTTCAAACAGCTTTCCTGGTAGCCTCGATTGCAGCCTGTCTCTTTCGTCGATCCCTGACGAAGAGGAGAGCTTGCTCGAAAACCAAATATGAGCAACAGCACGACGTAGTAAAGAGTGAACATGAGCCGAAGCACCTTGCGACATAATGCGTCACGTCTCGCGTTGGCGCAATCTGTATCGACCCAATGCGATCTTCTGCAGCTGGTGATGTGGTATCTCGTCACGTGGGCATCTCTTCTGCATCTCTACGAATAGGTCAGTGGCTACTACCCAATTCTCGCGCTGTTCCTCGGCATAAATGCGTTGTATGTAACTTTCGGTGTCGGGACGAACGCGGTAAGCTGCGGTGTCTTGCATCGTAGCGAATATTGGAGCTACAAGCTGGTACTCTTCTGCATGATTGCACATTTGCATAACACGATTGAACACAGAGACGCTAGGAGCCGTACCGAACAGCGCCTGCCACTCGGGAAGCATACGAACAGCTCGCCGCCACTCGCCCATATCGTCCAGCGAGTCCAACATCTGCGTCACGACAAATACTGGCGGCACTTGGCCTGTTGCGGCGTGCCACTTGTGAAGAAGCATCGGAGCTTCGATTACTCGGTCTTTGTCTCGTAGTGCGGTGCATTCGACGAGGTAGGCTGAAAAGCTGGACTCTGTCACAAGGTCACTTTTTATCCCAGCAGCATTCTCACCCCGTTTGCGATCAATGAGTGTGTCAAATATCGAGATCACGCCTTCAGAGTCCTTGTTTACACTGCACGCGGCAATCGCACGCTCGTACGTTGTCATATCCGCCTTCACTCGGGCTCGCCGCATTTCGTCAAGCAGGTTTATAACGCTGGCACGAACCCAGGCAGCTTTTCCATGCTGTTCGAGCTCATGATCTTGAGTTGACGCTACCCTCACTGTACATTCATGAATTAAACGTGCACTGTCTAGACCAGCTTCGACAACAAGATCTTCCTCTGTGCTACCGCTCTCAACATTATTGATATCATCGCTGCCACCTGCGTTGGTGTCGTGCTCTGCATCTTCGCCACTGAAAATATCCTCCTCCTCCCACTTGCGTTGATGATTCTTCCTCCACCATGCAGCTCGTTCTCCAGCTCTCACAAACGCCTCTAGCGCCGTGTTGTACGATACGACGTCGGGTGACACTCCTTCTTTCAGTCGGATCACATCTAGCACTTCCAGGGCGCGGCCAGGAAGGGCAGCCTCCACACAAGCCAACAAAATGCGATTGTAGATACTTATCGACACTGTCCCAAGTTTCGCTTCCATCTCGTTCGCAACCTCCCAGGCGCGAGTCACGTTCCCAACGCGAGCATATGCCAACACCACTGGCTCGAATGTCTCCATTGTAGGCGAAAATGTGCCGGACATTTCAATAGCTCGAAAGAGCTCCAATGCTCCATCCGGGTTCTTTGAATTTGCGCAGAGCTGCATAGCGCCACTAAGTACTTTCAGAGTAGGCTTATACCCGTCCGAGGTCATCAGGTAGTCTAAAAAGTGTAAGCCCACCTCAAACTGCTGCCGACTCGCACATGTAGCAAACAGTAACCCGAGAGTTGTATCGTCTGGCTGAATGCCGCGCTTCTTCATCACATCGAACAGTCGGAACGATTTGTCGACGTCGCCAAGCTGGTGGTAATAGTTGAACGCGTTGTTGAAGACGCCAATATCCAGCAACTCGAGAGGCGCATCATGACATGTGGTGGACATGAACTCTCCCATCCACGCCACAAGCTCGTCGTCCTGCGTTTCCACGACTTCTTCATTGCAAATCTCATTGCTATTGCTTCGAGCAGCAGGGTCATAGTCCCCTTTGCTAGCTGTTTCCAAATATGCTGCAAACAACCGGAACAGCGAGTAATACGTTGCCGAGTCCGGGTCAAGTTTTCGGTCCTCAGTGCACCACCCAAAATAGGAAAGCGCTTGCATCAAAGTGTCAAAACGCGCCCGTGGACCTTCGCTAACGCCATTCTCCAAACTCTTTACGTGCGCCTTCAATATCGTGTTCATAGTCACTTGGTCGGCTTGCACATCATTCCCAATCATCTCGTTCGTCATTGATTTGAGTCCGTGAACGTCACCGCGCACTGCATATGCATTTAACAGCGCATTGTAGCTCCGGGTCGTCGGAGTGCACGCTGGCGTGATCTCGGCGTATATTTTCATCTTTGCAAAAACAGACACTGCACTGGATAACTGTCCCTGTCTACCACAGGCACCTAATACAGTATGGAAGTGTGCTGCACTTGCGGTCCTAGTACGAACCAGTTCATCAAGTATTCTTAGCTTACTCTCCAGATTGAGAGAAAGTCTCTGAATAGCCCGATCCGCAATCAATGGAATCGTGCGCAAGCGTATATTTTCCAGTGCACGCTCAAAACTTTCGTCTTGGCTCCGATGCATGAAACAAGATTTTTGTTCCGGCCGTGTCATACGGGACCAATCCTGTTCGTACTGAGCCCAGACTATAGCCACTGATGATGCGTCACGGTTTGCGACCAATGTCGCCAGCTTTGTTGTATTTTGCACGTCTCTGACGGTGTTTGCAGTCGGGGCCCCCGTTTCATCGGTTCTCGTCGCAAGCGTGAGCGCGTAATCTGCGTAGTCCCACTCGCCACGCTGACGACAAGCATCAATCAGTGCATTCACAACTTGGCGTTGGACAGGCAGCCTTGCAGGTCGGTCGCGCACAATTAGCTGCTCAACATTTCGAACATAACCCACAGAACCCTCAATGTCGCCTTCACGCAAAAGATAGTACAGCATCGTTCGAGTAGTGACGGTATCGGGAGCTAGGCCAAACTCGTCACGCGCACGATTCGCTAGTTCCATCATGAACTTCGACCGTCCACAATCGCGCGCATACACCCGCAGCAAAGCATTGATGACTAAAGCCGTGGGCATTACTTCTGCATTCAGCATTTCCTCAAAATACGTTTCTGCTGTCTTGACTAGCCCCCGCTTCCTTGCACAGCAAGTAATCAAATAGCCATACATCTTGGCATCAGGTTCCATTCCAAACTCCTGCATTCTCTTCAGCACATATCGAGCACTGCGTAAATGGCGTGCACGGCTGCACGCAGCCATGGCGACTTGGAAGCTTGTCTCATTCGCGCAGCTGTAGTCCACCATCACGTCCAGCAGCGCCAACACGCGCGTCAAATTTTCATCCATCCGCGTCTTTTGCTGCTTGCAGTAGTGACGCAGCATGAGGTTGTACGTGTACGGCCAGAGCACGGGCTTGTCTGGATATCGGCGGAGCAGCGTCTCGACGATCCCCCACGCGCGATTGTAGTCGCTCTGCTCCAGAGTTTCTGCCAACCGTCGGTTGTAAAATCTACTTCCTCTTTCCGCTGGCAGTGAGCGCTCCACGTCCTGAACAACAGCGCGCAATTGCCACGAGCGCTTCGACACGTCGGTCAGCCGCTCGAGCGAAGCGAGTCGGCCGCTGTTTAACGTCAGTGCTGCAAGAGGTCGGGCGTTGACACATGCGCGTGGAAGGAATGTGTCAATCGAAGTACCAATAGACGTGCGGACGAGCATCGTGCGTTGGCGCGGACGCAGCAGCGCTCGGCGGAACGTCATGATGTCGCGGCGGTATCGCATTGATTGACGTAAGTGATTGGTGCAAACAAGCGGACGACGTGTCATTGGTGTATATATGCAGACACTATTTTTCTGTCCAATCAGAGCGAATAGCTGCGTTCCAAATGAGCGCCCTGGTCGTCGCTCATTGGTGGTTAATCCAATTAAGTTCCTGCAGTAGAGGGCTGGATCCCAAGCTGCACTCGGTATGTTCTGTGCCGCGAGGCGCTTGCAACCGTCTGATTGGTGCACAACGCATCGATAAAGGGCGGCTGGCACCCTATCCGAACGAAAGACTGCCTCTGCCGTGAACGAGACGACCATCACTCGATTTTGACCAATCCGAACGCTTATTGCTCGACTCAGCCTTTTCACCGGTGCAGTTGCTATGCTCCGCCGAAGAACCGGCGGCGGCGCGCAGTTCAAGCCGTTCGTGCTGCCGGTAAAGACCACGTCTGTGCATCCTCATGCACACCACGACACAGAAACGAATGGAGACGATGCAAGTAAAACAGGTACCCGCGAGGCGCTGAGTAGCCGCAGCTCGTCGCTGTCCGTCAAGCGGCTTCCGTTTCTGTCGTTTCTAGTGATGGAGCCCGAGCGACGTGCGCAACAGGTGCGATGTCCGTTCAAATCTCCATGTGGAAATGACAGTATATCGCAGGAGAGTCGTCGCCTACTGCATGTCAAGACGCTGGGAATGCGACGTCGCTGGGGCCCTGCTGTTTTTAAGCCAATGGCGCGTCACGATTTGCCGCCCGTGGAAGTAGAAGTAGACGCAATCGAGACGCCTGTTGAAGAGGAGCTACAGGTGTGTGCAATCGAGGAACCTGGTGACGCTGCTGCTAAGGTATCTGATGCTCCGCCACCACTGGTGTTGTGGCAGAGCGAGACTGACCCAGAGATGAAAGTGGTGGTACCTGAGATTGTGGGCAAGTTCCTACGTCCCCATCAGCGGGAGGGTGTGCAGTTCATGTTTGATTGTGTGTGCCAAATCAAGGGGTTTGACGGTCAAGGTTGTATCCTGGCTGACGACATGGGTTTAGGCAAAACACTACAGAGCATCGCGTTGATGTATACGCTGTTGACGACGGGCATGACCATGCAGCCGACGCTGAGCCGAGCAATTGTAGTGTGCCCAACATCTCTGGTGAAGAACTGGGACGACGAGATTGTCAAGTGGCTGCATGGGCGCGTAAAAACTGTGGCTCTGTATGAAGCGAAGCGTGAAACAGTGATCAAAGGTATCAGTCAATTTATCGAAGGAAGCAAGAGGCCGCGACCCGGGTTCTCAGCACAGGTGCTTATCATTTCATACGAGACGTTCCGGATGCACGCTCAGAAGTTTGCAGATACGCCAGCCTGTTGCGGGCTGCTGATTTGCGATGAAGCTCATCGACTGAAGAACGCTAATTCTCAGATCAACAAAGCGTTGTCTTCGTTATCATGCCGCAGGCGGGTGCTTCTTTCCGGCACGCCAATGCAAAATGATTTGGAAGAGTTTTTTGCGATGGTAGATTTCACGAACCCCAACATATTGGGCACACCAAGTGAGTTTCGAAAGAATTATCTAGGGCCGATCTTAGTTGGACGGGAACCGGATTCTACGGATCGTGAGCGAGGAGTGGCGCAGTCTTGCTCTGCAATGCTATGTGAAATTGTCAATCAGTTTATTCTACGTCGAGGCAATATTCTGAACGCAAAACATCTGCCGCCGAAGCTAATGCAGGTAATTTGCTGCCCGCTCTCGCCGTTGCAGGAACAGCTTTATACGCACTTTCTGTCCTCAAGTGCATGTCGTGATATGATGAAGCGCCAGAGTGTCAATGTCTTGTCATCGATTACCGCGTTGAAAAAGTTGTGCAACCACCCTTTGCTGATCTTTGACGAAATGGGAAAGACTAATACTAAGCTTCCTGGATTCGGCAACTGTGCGCAATACTTCGCGGCAGCAAAGGAATCTATAAATAATGGAGGAGATAATGGTCGACATCGCCGGGGAGGCTTTGGAAGTCGCACGTGCTATCCAGAGTGGTCTGGGAAGATGCTTCTGCTTGATCGTTTGATGTCTTCGATGAGGAAGACAACGACGGACCGTATCGTGATTGTGTCGAACTACACGCAGACGTTGGATGTTGTATCGACCCTTTGCCAGGAGCGTCACTTGCCGTTTGTTCGTTTGGACGGAAGTACCTCTGCTAAAAAGCGAAAGAAACTAGTTGACACATTTAATGACCCGTCCACCAATTCGTTTGCGTTTCTGCTGTCAAGCAAAGCCGGCGGATGTGGGTTGAATTTGATCGGCGCGAATCGTTTGGTTCTTTTTGATCCGGATTGGAATCCTGCAACCGACAAGCAAGCCGCAGCTCGTGTGTGGCGCGAAGGGCAGAAAAAGATGTGTTACGTGTACCGATTCTTGGCGACAGGTACACTCGAGGAGAAGATTTTCCAACGGCAGCTTTCGAAAGAGGGTCTTCAGAATATCGTCGATGACAAAGAGGAGGTCAATTCGCTCTCATCGAAGGATCTTAAGCGATTATTTGTGTTCCGCAAAGACACTATGTCTGATACCCATGATCAGTTAAGATGTGATCGCTGCCAATGGCGTGATGCCGACAATGATGGTGTTCAGGGCACTTCATCTGTAGTAACTATTGTTGATGACAACGATGAGAGCGAAAAGGCGGATGAAAGCGAAGCTGCACCGGAAAAAGACTCGACGGGTGATGAAGACAATTCGAACGACATAGTCAAGGGCTATCATGCGCAAATTGGCATGCCGCCAGAAGAGGACCTGAACAGTTGGGGTCACCACCGTTCGTATGCTTCGGTCGACGATGAAGTGATGCAAGCGGCTCTTCAGCAAGTGCGAGACGACTTGGTGAGTTTTGCTTTCAGCTGCCGCATTGACTGGGAGTTGCTTCAGGAGCACCAAGCCGAGAATGGAGAAAAGGAAATGCTACGTGACGAGGAGCGCAAGCGTAAGCGCTTGGAAATTATCGAAGCCACGAACAACGAGTCTGCGAAGGAAAAAAACAGGCTCATGCGCTCTACGCCAAAGAAAAAGTCGATTATCGATGAATCGGACGGATCGGAAAGCGAGTACTCAAGCCACGGCGAGGAAGGTGGAGAAGACGACGAAGTCCTAGGCGAGAGTGAATCGGGAAGCGAAGATGAAGGCGCGTATGTTGTAGCCCCTAGACGAAGCTCTTCGAGAATGGAAGTCGACATTCCGTGTACGTCAAAACCAAGACCGCATCAGCGTGCAGCGCTGACTACGTCACTAGATGCATCGTCTCACCCGGCCCCCGTCCAATCTGTGCATCCAGAGCTGAAGAGAAAAGTGTCAGTTGCATCCGAGGTGGATGCAGGCCCACGGTCCCCAAAGAAACTGAAAGTATGTGAATTCTCGGACTCCGCTGACGAGGATGCTTTCGTCGAAGATGTCCTGCAAGACCGGCGCTCAGTGCGTCGTCGGGCCGCACATACGCTGGACGAGTACAAAGAAAGTGGCGTTCAGTCTGCGTGGAGCTGTTCGCGGTGCACGTTGATTAACCCAGCAAGCAGCCTCAACTGCTCAAGCTGTGGCCTTCGCTATCGGCGGTCTCGTCCTCAGATAATTGACCTGGGCGACGAGAATGATGAAGAGTAATAAGAACACCACGCTGCAACGCATATATTGCGCTTTGCGCTTCGACTGCAGCAGTGCTTTATCTTGATGCAGTAGCCATCGCCGCGAATGTATCACACCACCTATCTCAGTCGATTGCATGCTCGACAGCTACGGTCTTGCGAGATGTCACCTTTTTTGGTGCAAAGACTTCCAGCTCTTTCTGGCTATCGTTCCGAAGATGAAACTGCCTACTGACAACGTCCGGTCGACTTCCTCATGCGGTCAATGCAACTGCATGCAAGCGCATACCAGGCACACAAGTCCAGTGGTTTCACCGATACCGCGTGCGTGCTACCAGCTTTAGTCGTCGTGGTGACGATGGCGGTGATGGCGGTGGTGATGGCGGTCGTACTGTCATCATCCCTGTACCGCTCTACGCTGCTCGACCTCGTTGCCTCCCGGCGGTGCTGCTACATCCTTTCGAACAGCGGATCCGGTGGTAAGTTATCAGACTCAAGTCGTTGTCAAGTAGCTCCTCGCATCGCCAAGTAACGAGGGGTGCATAGAACTCAGGCATTGCCAAAGTTGCCACGGCACTGGTTGGCACGTGTCCATTGTTGACGCCTGTCCACGCCGCAGCCAATCTGACCTCACTGCTCTCACCAGTTGTAATCCCTTCGCTCGTGTCTGCGGCACTGTCCGAACACGATGCGGTAGTTGTTGCTCTCCCGTTTCGCACACAAGTGACGATAGTCGTCACGTCTTTTGTCACCGCCCGAGCAGTTGTTGACTCGTTTTGAGAAAAGGAATGTCTGTGTGTCGATTGGCAGGTCCTGAGACGAAGGGCGCCTGGTGGCAACTCCCCCAGTCCTGACACCCTGACACACCAGTGATACTATCGCACACGTATTGACCCGATCCTTAGTCTAATGGTACAGACACACCGGGCTTCGAACTGTGCGGCCTTCCTTCCACCACTCTACCTACCTCGCTACAACCACACACAAACGCGGGACTCGAACCCGCGCCACTTGCGTATCACACCGTATACAACGAACTCAACTGACTGGTCCAATGGCAAGACCACACGTGCGAATCAAAACAATTGCATACAAATCTGCAAACAATCGTCAACCCGAATACATTAGCAGTTCAGCATCACCCGCCCGCGCCGGGTGCTTCTCTGCGGCCAAGTTCGCAGTAGACTGTCTACGCATTCACGATGCTCTTGGCAAACGCCTCGACGTTGGCAGCCCGAGTGGCCGTATCGGGCGAGTCTTCAATGATCTTGACAATCTTGGAGCCGATGACGACTCCGTCCGCGAGCGCACTGGCCTGCACAAAGTGCTGACGCGTGGACAGACCAAAGCCCAGCGCCAACGGGTGCTTCACATTGGCACGAACTGTCGTAGAACAAGGCGCACGGATTCAGTCAGTCCTACTGCGCTGTACCGCAAGGCAACGCACACGGGAACTCACTTCTGCTCATGAACGCGTCGAGGTTCGGCGGCAGCTCGTGCCGCGCTCCAGTGACACCAGTGAGACTCACGCAATACACGAAGCCATGTGCAACCGAGTCAATGAGCTTCATCCGCGCGTCCGTCGTCGTTGGGGACACCAGCGGGATGTACGCGAGTCCGTGTGCGGCTGCGGCATCGCTGAGCGGCTTGGCCTCCTCGGGCGGCAGATCCACAATGATGAACCCATCGACTCCAGCTGCAACATGCGATCCATCCAGAGCACAAAGACAAGTACGCAATGACACATCCGCTCTCCCTCTTCCCTTTGTCTCTCACTCTCTCGCTCGCTCTCTCTCTCTCTCCCTCTTAAGCCCTCAACAACGTCCGTACCTTTGTAAGCATCAGGGCAAATCTTGTCTTCACCGTACTGCAAGAAGTTGTTGTAGTACCCCATGAGCACGACAGGAGTCGTGAGGCCCTGCCCACGCGCCTCGCTCACCGTAGCAAGCACGTCGTGCAACGTAATGCCCTGGTCCACACCCACCTGGTGGGCGCGCTGAATGGTCGGGCCATCCGCTTGCGGATCCGAGTACGGAATGCCCACCTCGATGATGTTGGCACCTCCACGTTGCAGTCCGAGCAGAATGTCCACTGTGTCGGCTTTGGCCTTGAAGCCGCAGGGCACGAACGCGATGAAGGCCGCTGCGTTGTTGGCCTTGCGCTCGGCGAAAACCTCTGCGATCGTCGGTCTACAAAATGATCACACGACAATGGAATGCGATGGAGACGTTGGCGGATCAACGTGCAACAGCATGGCGCGTGTGTGGCTGTATGTCGGTATGTCTGTATGTGTGTTTGTCTGTCTGCCCGTCTGTATGTACCTGCTCATTCTGATGTGGTCTGCTGGTTACGCGTCTGGTGGGTACGCGGTGATTCAGAGTATGACGCTGTCGAAAAACGTTTTCGGTGCGACTCGAATAGAAGACCGTACGCAATTCTATCCAGCCACAGGTTGAGGATATGGGCATAATCGTGATTTTGCCATCATAACTCGATCGACCAATGAGATGCAACGACAGTCGGCCCACTGACCGACGGACTGACTGACTGACCGGCTATATGACGCGTTTTTCGGGTCAAAAGCGGGTGTTCACTAGCCTTTTCATTAAGCAAAACGCGAATGGTTCTTGAGCAGCCCCGTCTTCTTCGGCTGGATGTGGCTGCGAATGCCGCACGTGGAGCAGATTGGTCGGAACTCGCAAAACAACGACAGACACACGGGGCAGACAAACGCTGTCGAGATCACCTCGCGATGGCAAAAACACATGGCTCGAAAGTCAACTGAGTCCTGCGACGGCAGCTTTAGCAGCTTGCGCATTGACGGATCGGGCAGGTAGATCGCGATGAGGTACTCGAGCAAGCCGCTGTGGTCGTTGGGTTTGTAATAGATGCCACCCGTCAGATAGGCCGCTTGTTGCATAAACGACGACTGCTCCGACGCAAGGATGCACGCGTCCACTGCCACGTTCTTCTTCTGCGCCGAGAAAATGCCATTCATAATGGCGATGTAACGCTCCGACACGTCGGGCGATTTCTGGATGACCAAGATACGCGGCCGTAGTGCCGGATCTTCATTCATCGCACGATTGATGACTGGATCCATACAAGCAGTACCACACACGCACGCACGCACGCACACCACCATCAACAACCCGATTTGTTAGCAAAGCAGTCCAGCCACGACAGGTAGTGTGTACTACAGTAGCTTACAGCAGAGGGCCCTCGACAGCGACGCTGCAATGGCTGTTCGGTTCGGCTTGGCCGGGTCCAATGGGTCGTCGCTCAGCTCCTGTAGACGCTGCATGACGCCAGCGTTGACCTTAGCAGCTTGTTCTGCACTCCCTGAAGTGTCTTCTTGCTCCAAATTGGGATACAACATGGCGCTTTTGCCGGCGTGGGCAGCGATTATGACAATGCGATTGCTGCGGTGCAGCAGCAGGTACGAGTTCACGAACACCAGCGTGCTCGAGAGCAGCCGCTGCAGACCAGCCCGCTCCGCGGCCCCAGCTCCCTGGGCAAACCAGTGCACGGGATTGGTGTCGACAATTAGCACCAGGAGTCCTTCGACGGCCGGCTCGCTGCTGCCCGCGCCATGCGCTTGTGGCAGCGCACTATCCATTTTGGCAATGGGTTCATGATAGTGGTCAGAGCAATGTTGACCACACTATTCTCGACCTCGCAAGAAAGAGATAAATTCATCTTATCTCCACATCGTCCTACGATATGATACCTATATACCCTAACGACGGCGGTATGTGCAGCGGTAGCGCATGAAATCGACAAGATACACATAAGAGCGACCTTATAGACTCCAGATCATGGTCGACGCAACGCACAGACACGCCGTGATGCTGACGACTGCAAGTTGCAGCGACCCACTACTCTCCTGGTTCGTGATCGTCGACAGAGGCGCCTCGCCTGCGTTCATCGACGACTGGATACCGCTCAACGTGTCGCTGCTGGTGAGGCCTGTGCTTGAAGTGACAGTGCCTGGACCGTCGTCAGACGGCGACGAGACGGTCTTCGTGGGGCTATTTGACGTCGACAGATTCCCTTTCGCGGTGAGAGTGAGGCCCTCGTAGGCCGCTTTCATGTGCCCCGCCTCATCAAAAAGGCCAAAGTGCGACTCGACCGTAGTCGCGTCGTCAGCCTGCTTCGCCTTGTAAGGCGTGTCGAACCCCACAAAGTAGTAGTACTTCCATCCCTTAGACTCGGCGAGCTCGTAGAAGTCGTGCAAGTAGATGGCGGCATTCTCCTCGGACGCTACCGATCCGTTCGTAGCAAACCCGTCTGTCGGCCACCCCGTCTCGGTGATAACGACTTCCATGTCGCCCGCCATCTTCAAGAGACGCTCGATACGCTTGTCAAAATGAGCTGCAGCCTTCTTTGCTTCCACCTTCTCCCAGAACGGAAACTGGTTGACCGTCACAATGTCGCCGGCCTTGAGCATCTCTGGGTACTGAATAAACGTGTCAACAATGTCCGTTATACTGACAGGCACGCGGATGCCGTTGTCTGCCAAGACCTGCTTAAATTGAGCCACGTATTCAATCGACTTCTCCGCGCTGATGTCCTTCCGGTACACGGCTTCGCTGCCAACATTGATGCCAACGACAGTGCTGTCAATGAGGCCCGCACGAAGGAGCTCCTCAAAGGCCTTGACCTCTGCTTTGTATACCGCCTCGTCCTCGGACACCCACACGCCGAGCCACACGGTGATCGACATCTTCTTGGCCGCTTTGAGTACGCTCGTGACGTCACAGTCCGAGAGACTGTACGTGCGCACGCTCGACATATAGGCGCCGAAAGTCGAGAGCTCGGCCGCGATCGTGTCGGCCGACTTGCACTTGCTGGGGTCCCAGTCCGGCCCCTGTCGCAGGTCGTAGTTGATACCGTAGAGTTTCTTGTCCAGCGCTGACGTCGATGACACGAGCATAGCTATGCCGGCAGCTGCAGCAGCAGACAAGATGGATACACGCGTCATGTCTGACCTCTTCGTTCACTGGCGGCTGGAAAACTAAAGGCAAAGTGCTCGCGTCAGTTTGCAAATCACCGAGTGCCCAAATATTCGGATTGACAGCCCGGCAGCTTTTCCGCCAATGAAAAAGCGCGCAGATCGTTGCAGACGGACAGACAGAATTTTCAGAGAAAGCGCTCTACGAGGGTCGGCTGACAATGTAAAGTTTGATGGAAGAGATACGCACCATGGTGACTGGGACATTGATGTTCCGCAAGTATGGCTGTATTGCAATACAGTGCGTAGCTCTGACGAAGCAAGCGTTGTAATTGTTGCACGACCGACGACCCGAAAGTCCTCGTGAACTGCCTCCCTGGATTGGGTGCACGATGGCAGCCTGCTCGTTGCACCCAGCGAGCTTGCTTGGCTGCAGCTCTCTTTCTCTCAAGGGCAGAGTGCTGCATGCAAGTTGTAGCATCCAAGGAAACCGTTAGCTTCTTGTGTCACATCGGTTCGAAGGCTCCGGCTGCCTGCAACAAAAACTTTGCCTCAGCACGCTCGTGCCCAAAACGTGGCCGGAGGTATATGCGTTCGAACTCGCATGAGTGAAAGTGAACTTGTCCGTGGCCTGGGATACCTGCCTTAGGTGCTTGTGCGAGCACATTCGAGCTTGGGCTATACGAGCGCGACCACCCCGAGCTTTGTGGCATGGGATCGACCTTGTTCACAAGGCCCACAAGTACGCCAAGCACGACTGCGCTACACTGTGCTCTGCCAGGCCAATCAGTACCACTTTGTCGCACTTGGTGTCGCTACATGCTTCGTCTTGAGCTCGTACTTGAGCTCGTTGCCACGTGTCTTCCTACCCCATCACCCTCGTATCTCCGCAGCCTTTTGCCCTCGCCCGCCTCGTCCCCTCCCACCAATACACTGCTCACTCTGCTGCCTCCTTCGCCTCACGCTTTGCTTTTGCAGCCTCAATCTACGTCAGAAAGCCATGAAAAGCCACAAAATGGCCCACGTCAGTCGAAATGCCCCGCACCCACGTCGTTGGTCCGGGTCTGCCCCTTACCTTGGCCGCCATAGCCTCTTTGCGGCTGCCAAACTTGCGGTTCTTGCCGTGGATGCGACTCGCCTGTCCGCTCGCAGTCGTCGCGGCGATTGCCTGAGCCGCTGTCTCCTCGCACGCGGCTTTGAGCTGGAGCGCCACGCGCTTGTGCTGGATGTCGGCCATTTCGGAACCAGTAAAAGCGCTTTTACGTGCGGCGCCAAACGGCACGTGCCAAACGTTTTAGCACATGCGGTCAGCTTTAATCCAGTCAAATAATGATTACGGCATCGCACAACACGCAGTTGAAACTGTTGGTCGCAAGCACAACGACTGCGAAAATGGCAGCGCAGTCTCGGGGCGGAGGGACGTCCTACGCAACGAAGTCAGTATCAACGACCGTGGACGGTATGTGTGTGTGTCTGCGCGAGCATTACAGAACGGTACTGTCGATTGGCAGTGTGCACGTTGCGACGTATTGACAGCTGTGGTCACGTGATGCCGCACGAACGTTTGTGCAGCTCCCGTCTGGACGTCGTATCTAGCGATTCGATCGTCGAGCTCCAGTCACAGTGTGACACGAGGCCGCACTGTACCGGATACTGTAAACAGACGCTTCGCAAGTACCAATCTACGTGGACGAAAGCGAGCAAAGTCGTCGGCTGGTGGGGGTACACTGCAAGAAACCAGCACCTGGATGACACTGGCCACGCCACTTGGGACACGACGTAGCGGCCGAGAAGACGGGGACGTAGTGCTGAATAGCATTCGTCAGTACTGGGAACAGCTCAGTAGCAACGAGCGCCAGCAGATTCTGTTTCTCGATGACCCGGAGCTCGTCAAGCAACTGTACAAGCTGAACCTGAGCTTACTGTGCGTCGGATTGATGCAACGGCACCTCAAGACGTCCGTCCATCGACGAGTCTCAGGCAAAACAACTGCTGACACGAAAGTTGTTGCAGTGCCTGCGTCGATCGGAACGAAAGGTGTGACCTCAACGGATGCGCCAGCAGGAACCGAGCAAACAGCAACGCCGCCACCTGTTGTCCGTGCGTTGCCAAACACATGTGCAGAGAAGACGTATGAGTTGCTTGAGGCAATGGAGTTTATGGATATAGGCACGGGTATGCGGCCATCCAGTTGTGCTAGTGATTCGTAGGTGATGTCCTTGCTCACTCTTGCTTGTGTGTGATGATACACAGGCATCTTGACGGTAAAAACGGAATTGGCTGAGGACACGGATCGGCTGTTCGCGCTGGTTGGAGATGTATTGCAAGGATTTCTTACATCGGTCCATGTGCTCAAGGAGAGCAAGTTTAACAAGTTGTTTGTGACGGAAAGTGAGACTATCAGCTCGTGGGCAAATTACCAGCGTCTGATCGCGATGCTGGTAGAGCAGGTAAGCGTCGTTTGCATCACATGCTGTTGATGCCCGATTGCATATCATGCTAACGTGTTTTTCTAGCTTGTTTTAAGGAGCTACGTGAGTCACCTGGAAAGCGAAGCTGCACAACAAATGGAGCAACTTTTGCTAGAGGTGTCTCTGGAGGACAACAGCTTGTCAACACGCATCCCAACCTCAGGTGGCAAGAAGGGGAAAAGCAAGAAGAGAAAGAAGAGAAAACCAGCACCGCATAAGGCTGCAGCTGCCGACCGGGTTGGTGTGGTAACGACTGCAAGCAGCTCCAATGGTGATGCTGGTGGAAATCAAATGGAAAATAGCTCAACTGCCCCGTCGACGAACAAGGTCACAGCGATGGAGCCCGTCTGTGAACCAATACCGGATTTTACATCCAACAGTGCAGCAGAAAGCGACTGCCGACCCTTTGTGATCACGGAACTCATCAATGAGGTCGCGCTGGGTGGAGACGAAGCCATTTCAGCAGAAACAGAAGCTGCCACGAGGAAGGTGTCACGTCTGAATCCCAACGCGCTCGTTTTCCAGCCCCAGAACCTCGAACCGTTTGCCAAGAAGGTCAATGTACAACGCTCTTCCTGTGCAAGAAAACGATCGTTTGAGCAGTATATCATCAGCGTTCCATGGGAGGATGTCGATCGTGACGGCGGTCGTGTCTTTGATGGCCGAACCGCCGACAGCGATTCGTCTAGTGAAGACGAAGGAGGCAACGACAGGAGGGCTTCACAACGGTCGAGGAGGAAGCAACGACGGCGTGATGAAGACACGGAGCTGGAGTCGCAGCTGCAACAGGTGTACGCGTCCACGTCATTTCTCTTCGGCTGGGACTTTCTGCGACAGTGCGAGCTCTTGGATACCAATGTGCACTGGAGCGAGTTGACGCTGTGGCAAACAGCGCCGAAAGAAGTGGTGCGGTATTTTTCACCGGAAAACGGGGACAGGGTCTCTCGGTTCCAAGCGTCTCACCTTCTGGCACCTGCTCGCTCCGTATCGTCGAGGTACTACTTCAACATGCAGCCATCAGCGCCATTTGGCTCTCCACTACTACTGCCTCCTGCAGGCACGGAACAAGTGCCTCTCTGCGGTTCATTTGACTACCCGCTGCACACGGTCGTCTCGTCACCAAATTTTTCCAGTGTACAGTACTACCACGCAAGTGAGCATGATGAGGACGACCAAACTTGACTCCGAGCGTGAGCAATTATTGCAGCCTTAATTTAATACACACGTGACAATAATTGCTCAAACAACCGCACTTAACAGCAGCTCAGTGGCTCAGAAGTAACGACAAGACCAACGCCATGGCGCTAATGCTTCGCAGCATCACGTTCGTGGCCGCCAAGCGAGCGGCCACGCGTGCGCCACTCGCCGACATCGCTGCGTCCTCTGCGTGTACGCGTAGCTTTGCGTCCAAGTCGGATGCGAAGAAGAAGAGCAAGAAAAAGGGGAACGACGACGCCAACTTTGAGAAGATGCTGCGTGCTATTAAGGGCCAATATCCCGAGGCGTACGGTATACGCTGTTCCATCATTGTTTGATACTGCACTGTTGTGCACTCTTGCAATACCTACTCACATGTGCACTGCTCGCTTGTTGTGCTTGTGCTGTTGCCTCTTCTTCTTGTGTGTGTGTGTGTGTGGTGTGGGTGTGACAGGGCCGAGTGGACAGACGAGGAAAAGCAGCGCCACCAGGAGATTGGTCGCCGCTACAACCGGATGAGCTCTATCGAGCACAACCACCTTATGCGCGACGTGCAGACCAAGATTGATCTCAAATGGGATGCCATCAACGCGCTGCCTGCAGAGCTGCAGGCGGAAGCAATGGAGATTGACGACGCTCCTATTCCCGAGGAACGTACTATGGCCACGTGGACGCCGCCCATTCCAGGCTTTAGACGATACACGGACGAAGAAGACGAAACAGCGGGCTAGAGCAGATGGCCTGCCAGGTGTCACGACAGGCAGACAGGTTCCAAGCCGACGATGTGCAGCGAGAGAGAGTGTGTGTTTGTGTGACAAATAGACCGTCACGTGGAGCAAACATGCCTGGTGTGTATCGCGGTGGTTGGGCTATGCTACACTGCACGGATTATTCGGTGGTTACAAACTATGGCGCAACTCGTCGCACAGCGCTCGTTCACGTGCGTCAGGTGAGCTTGATGGCTTCTCGTCTTCCGTGGCGTTTTCTTTTTCTCTTGCGTCGCCTGTTGTGCTGCCAAGACCTTCTGACCGTGCAGCAGTCGGCTGCTTGCTCCACCACTCGCGAACATTGCGCTGGATCACCAGTGAGGCCAGAGCATGCGCCTTCATGCGAGCAAAGTGTTTACGACAGAGCACTCCCCGTGTGGCCGCTTGCAGCTTAATGGCTACGTGCTTCGTATGCAGAAAACTACGGCGAGCCAACATACTCCGCGTTGCGGCTTGGACAGTTATGGCGGCACGCTCACGTTCTGACTGCGCGTGTACCTCAGAAGGAAGGTGTTTCGCAGCGTCTCGCTGCTCGATACTTTGTGTGGCTTCGCGAAGCTGTATTGTCGTCTCACGCATGTTCCTGCAGTTCCGCTTGAGCAACCACGCGCGTATACCGTGCTGCAGTACTTTCACCTCGTCTTCCAGCGACTGCCTTTCTTCTGGTCCCATGAGTTCCATGGCTGCTTGGAGCTTGTTCAAACCTTCCTTGTTTTCAGCGATAACGCTATGAACATCCGAATCGGTTCGAGTTCCGGGCAGGACGAATCGCCCATCAGCAAGGTCAGCGGCATCCATGCCAGCTGTGCTTACGGGGGAGAAGCTGTGACCCACTGATGTCACTGAGCTGCTAGTGCTAGAAGCGGTCAGAGGGTCTTCCTCATCCATAGTCTCACGACGCCATGCAGCATTACCCGCCGAGTCTCGTGAGATGCTCAATGACAGTGCGCATTTGTCGTGCAAGCTCATCGTGGAAAAAGCCCCAAGTAGAAGCTTACGGTTGTGCTCCTGCGTTTCGCCTATCTGCAAGGGAACAAAGCACACATACAGATGTAACGAACAATTCAAACACGATCACGAGTGCTGATCACTTACGCGAGAGGATGTCTTCGACGCTAAGCTTGCCACATACGGACTCTCACAGCGAGTTGAGTGAAAATGTAGTTGTCCTGTGCCAATCTCTCCGTAATCATTGCTCTCCAGAAGGCCCATGTCTCCTGCATCCATGTACGGCGTCGGCATGCCATCCATCTCCATAAGCGTTCCGTACATTTCATCGACAATACTCGTGTCGACAAGAGCACCGTCCCCCATGTAGCGATGCAATTTGGCTGCAGCGTCCATGTGGCCAGACTTTTCAGCACGATCAGCAGCAGTCAAGCCTTCAAAATCGAGGGCTTGCAAATCTGCCCCAGACTGCTGCAACACGTCGATCACTTGGTCGTGACCACATCCTGCTGCCAAGTGAAGCGCTGTCTGCCCTTGAGTACTTTGTTGGTTGATTTGTACGCCGTGGGCAAGCAGAAGAGGCACCAATCGAGAGTAATTGTAAAAGCTCACATAGTGCAACAAACTCAAGCCAGCTTCATCGAGCGAATTGAGCTCCTCCAGCAACTCCTCGCTCGTATGTGCAACTGTTACAAGCTGATGCACGACGCGCACCAGTAGTTGCTCGGAAAGCTGCTCCAACTCATTGTCACTTAGCGCCTCGATCGTACAGTCGTCCAAAGACGCCGATGTATCGCCGAAAGAAGTCAACGAGGCTGGCGGTCCGTCGCGTATGCTTGGTTGAGGAACTGGCTCACCCGTGAGCTGTTCTTGGCAGGTTGACGCACAGGTCTTTCCAGATATCTGCTTACTCGGTAGAGCTGGTCCGCCGCTCACATCAGCAAATATGTCTTTCTCACCACTGGAACTTACTGACACACCAGAGCTGAGATTCTCAACTGCAGACGACTCCACAGCTTTTATCTGTATCGCTTGGTGAAACTCGGACAATCGCTCAACGACCCGAATCTTGCACTGCCGTTCGTCGACTAGTCACACATTGCACCAAACAGTTACGGTATGAGCTTTTGCGGTGAGCGCCGGATGAAGAAATGACGGCAAACAACTTACGATCCGACTCAACGTATGTCGACAACGACCGGTTCGATCCTAGAAAATTGTTCAGCGGCCGATTGCTATCAACAACGGGATGGGAATGACTAGCACGAGATCGAACTCGCTTGCCCGTGCCGAAGGCGCTGTGTGCAGAACGGGATACTGCAAGTTTAGGCAGGTCAACAGCTTCCTCTACTGCACAAACGTGTCCATCCGTCGCTCCTTCGCCCACAAGCGATGGAGACGCCTGTCGGTAACTTCGGTAGGTGAACTTTCTTCTCTGTGATAGCTGAAAAGCCTCTTGTTGTAGACTTTCGATCCGATGACATACGTACATGTCGACAATGCCGGTATCTATACAACCAGGAGCTGGGTCCACACAAAGTGCAGCATCGTCGCGGATACAAGAGTATGAGTATCGTGCGCGGGTGCCAACTACTACGAAACTCGACATGCGCGAAACAAGTACCTGTACAACGTAGCATCGTGTCCGAAACCACTTCTGCGCGAGTTCGTTTGGCACCAAACTGCACAAACAAATTCGTGGTATCGTGCGCGACACCCTCTGGAAGGCTCGCTGCCAGACAGATCAAAACCTTGGCCCCACCGTCTTTGAAGTCCCAGTCAGGCGAGAAATCAGAAATTTTAGTCAGGAAGGGTTGCCGGCCTTTCGATCCGAAAGTACGCTCTTCGAGAGAATCGGCACAGCCCAGGTCATACATTCGGTCGTCTGCATGAAATTCTGCGCTCTTCTCGTCCATTTTGCCCCCCTTCAGCAACGCTATGTTTGCATCAAAATTGTGTACCGACAACGTCTGAGATTTTGTTGCTCGGGGCCCCGAATCCGTTATGTCGAAGCAGCCTAGACACAAAATTACAACAGAAGACTAATGGTCACGTAACCGAATAAATACTCGACGCATATCGACACCGTGTACATACTTTTCACGATGGATTCAGCTGTTTCGTCAGGTGCCACAAAGTTCAGTGGACGTTGTTGCTGGAGCGGTGACATCGATACAGCAGCAGCGGGCAACGACCGATCGATTTCGTTACTCGACTTGCTTACGCGTGTCGACACTCGAGGTCCCACTCCACCTCTGTTCATCTCGTCAAAGTAGTGCACAAGGACAATGTGTTTCGTGGAATCCCGTATGTAGTAGATCCTACGATGGAATGACTACAAGCAACTCATCAGAAACAGCAAGTCGATATCCACGATGAAGATGCATCGAAAAACTTCCAGTTCGTACCGCAACGACTAACTTACGGAAATCTCGGCCGAATGCACATAACTTCCCAAGATGATGACCTCTCGGTTGATCACGAGCTTTGCGCGGTCCTCACGAACCTGCGTGTCACACAAAAAGCCTGCATCAGTACGGCGTTGTAGCAGCAGCAGCAGCAAAACATGGCATCAACACACAAAAAGCACCGCCGCACCCGTCCACTCTTGTCTTTGCGCTTCTGCCAACGCCATCCATCTTTCTTGTAGTCCGAGACCTCCAGTGTGTTGTAGAACAGCAACGTGCCGCCTGTCCACACGCCGATAGAGTACCGTAAGTGACAATCCGTCGATAACGGATACTCGTAAACAATGCCTCAAAAAGCTCTTTTTTCCATTACGCGACCAGCGAGACGTACTTGGTGGCCGTGGCTGCGCCGAGCAGACCAGCGGGACGCTCACCTGCTTGTAGTGCAGCAAGAGGAACGCCAGCTCGTCCTTCACGAGCCACCGCCGAGTCGCTTCGTTGCGCAGAAAGGCTGCGCGCGCTTGGGTCATTCGCCCGCTGGGTCGTGTCACGTCGTGGCGTTTCGTGACAGTCAGTAAACGAAACAGTGACTCCCGCCGTGTCGCAGAGTTGTTTTTATTCTGCAAAAAGCAAAAGGTGCGAACTGATGATGGGCGACCGTCGAAAGTGTTTCAGTATAGTGGCGAAGGGCCGTATCAGTGTTTCCACGGGGTGAAAACGAGTCAGCGTAGAAACCGAATGCGGGAAGCATACGGCACGCATATTCCCAAGCCGTGTGTACATACCAGTTTCTAGCTTCATGGTCATATCGACACTAGCATACGCTCGCTCGCTCTCCTAGAGCAGGGGTTGTCGTAGTGCCAAGATACTCAGTCGAAATGGTCGTACAGATGCATTCGACTTTCTGCTATTATTCAGTCAGCTGCGGCAGGTTCGACTGCAAGTCGAAGTGAAGCCGCAATAGTGAGGCACTTACTGCGCTCTCCACCTCATATGCTGACCGAGCTTGACGCATCATCCGCATGACTACAGAGCGCTCCACACTGCCCATGATCCTTCGTCAGTACGTTACCGCGACAATCTCCACGCTGTCAGTCACTTTACCAGTTGCTGTATCGGATGCGCCGCTTGCGCTCGTGCAGCGACATGTGCTCAGATAGTCGTCTTACAGCTGCAGAAGAAGTCCCAGCATCGTCCACGCCCACGCGAAATTCTCGGACGTGGTCTCGAGCCCCCATAGACCGAGTTTGCCCGCTATACGCTGCGAAGACGCTGCCGTGCTGAAGTCCACGTTTCCATCTCCCCCATCCTCAGGCTTCCAAGTGAAACACACGACTAGGGGAGACGCCACCGAAGTGGGTAATCTGGGCAGCTGCGCGTTGTTGCTTGCTCGCCATCTTCTTCTCATGCCAAGCACAGCGCTCGGGGTCCTGCATTGTGTCTACTTGCCACGCAGTGTTCGGCACACGCACCAACTTGGCCGTCGTAGGGGACGTAGTGTTGGCATACAGCTGCTGGTACACTGCGATAGTGGCCACTTCTTCAATACCTGCAACTCAGCCGATCCCCTCGACCTCGAGGCGCAACGCGTCGCCCGTCAAAACAAAGCCCACTTTGGCCAGTTGCTCCAGGTTCCACAGCGCGAGTGTGTTCCACGGCGACGTCAACCCACTCAGTTCAATCGGCTGGCTCTCAGGATCCGGCTGGAAGTCGTGGCCCGGCATTGCCGCGCCTACCACGAGGTCACGCGAGTGGTCAAAATGCGAGTGTAGCAACTCGATGCTCGTCGTATCGACGTCCATTTCGAGCGACTGCAAGAGCAAAGAGGTGGCCTTTGGAAACTGCTCGGCCGCTGTCTTGATCAACGCGTTCAAAGCCGGCACGAACTTCCCCCAATAAAGCATAGGAATGATCCTCACTCGACCAAAAAATGGTCGTACACTCGTCTCACGCTGCAGGTGAGTGCAGAGCTCGCGCACGGACGCGATAAAGTCGTCAGTCGTAGATACATGAGCAGCTGTGAGCGATCCGGCCATGGCGATGGGAAGACCGACAGCGATCAGGATCCCGCCATCGGCATACGTGGCTGCACGGTCGCAGAATGCAAGCACTTGGTTAAGTACCTTGGCGACGTCGATACGCTTGTGCTGCGAGTGGCTGTGCCAATGGAGGCGCGCGCCGACCACGACCTCTCCTGCCATTTGCTCGCTTGTTGAGACCCGATTCTTTTCTGAGAACCTGAGACGACAGTCGTACAATTCAATGTGCTAGAGAAAGGCTTATTTGCTCCGAGGTGCGATCGATCACAGTAAAGTACTTCTTCTATACTGTGAGAATCGCGACGAGGAAGGTAATAAATGCAGTGCGGACAGGAATGATATGACCATCAAATCTTTTCGACACATTAACACAAATAAATCGAATAAGGGGCGTAAATATAGCCAATCGAAAGCGCTGGCGTTGGACAAGAGCATTATGGTTGCGACATTACTTTTAAAAATTGGAGGCCTACAGCCCCAGGAACGCCAAGAAAAATGGAGAGGGCAGTAAAATATTGATATAGCCACCAAGCATCGCCGCGTTATATGTCACCGTCACGGCGTTGTTTTGGGTCCGTTTGCTTTTGCTGCAATGCCTGCTTGCTGACGCTACTATGTATGATCCTATTGTCTACAGAAGTATACCGAGAGGCAATAAATGAAAGGGAAAAGAGATGAGAAATGTGATAGCCTTTGATGAGACAAAAATAAGTCATCAAGAAATTGCTCGACGCATGGGTCGATCTCGAGGCGTTAAACACTTCTTGAACGACCCCGTCGCCTACGGTGCGTATAAACCAGCCGGAAGACCACTAGTTGTGATTGAAATGACTCGACGCCGACTCCTCACGGGATGAATTATGTAACGGGGCAGCCCGTTACATGGAAGTGTCACTTCAAAAGAAAGTGACAACAAAGAATATTAAGTGAATATTCTTTGAACAATATCACCGGTGATGGTGATATTGATTAAGCGACCAAAGGGTCAGCTCATTGGTTGATATAGTGATGATATGAACCCACCAATCGCCGCAGGAGCGCGCAATGAGTGGTGACGAGACGTCACCATACACTCAGTTATATTAACATAATTAAGTCAGGTTAAACAGAGAGACAGTAGCAAAAATACTTAATTATATTAATACAACAGTTTTACTTTTTCCCTACCCTACGCTTCCTCGTTCGCCTCGTGTACGTCTGTCGGGGAACCCAAAACCCTTGCGTTAAGTTCACGCAAGGGTGTGCCCCGTTACAAATTAGCTGCACGAGAGATCCATGCGCAACTGGAACTTCCTGTAAGCGTATCTAGAGTCAAGCAGCTTCTAAACGAAAGCCATACGCTCAAGTTACTCAAGCGTAGATTTGGACCAGTTCTTACCAAAAGGAACACAACAGCTCGTGTTTAATGATGTGCTAAGAGATGCTGTCTCTCCCGTAAAGATTGCACCAAAACTATTTTTCGGACGAAAAGAAGTTTAGTCTGGATAGACCAAATGGATTCCAAGGCTATTGGCATGCCTAAAGGAAAGAAAAACATTTTTTTCGACTCGTCAATCCGGTGCTGGCTCGGTTATGGTATCGATAAATAACATTAACTCTTCCACCTCACTCGAATTACGCATTGTATTTATTGACCAATAGGTTGAGTGTGTTGATATTAAATTATTTTACAGCAAATCAAATCGAGTAAATGCAATATTTAGGACCAATCAGAGAGTAGATGGCAAGTGAGGCTCTCATGGCACCTCTTCGACGTATCGGGTCGGACAGAGCAGTGGGGTTATTGCTATCACTGTACAACACTAAGATAGTCTCATATCTCACAAATATTACCCAAACGCCGACATCCCCGACGAAGACGAGTCGCTCGCATACTTCATAAATAACACCCAAGCCCCGACATCTCCGATAAAAAAAGATCAGTATGACCAACCTCGCACCTCCCAACACGAAGTGTGCTCGTGATAACGCAGCACGCTCGTTTTTGAAGTTCCTCGAGGAGGAAGAGGTTAGTTGGGACTACCTGCAACACTACATGCAGCGCGAGAGGGCACCTCTTGTCTTATAAGCTGTGGTGGACAAGCTCGGCATGTATCTCGCGCTCGAGGAGGGCCAAAAGGAACAGCTTTTAGCTCGACACTCGGTAATGCAGTACTTTTGACAGGCCAAGATCTGATTGAAGGACCAGTTCCCATAGAATCGAGCCGCGGTCGACAAGAACCTGCACAAGAAGGGAAAGACGCTGGAATGCCATTGCATAAAGCGTGATTCAGGATTGTTTGTGAACAAGGCCCCAGCGTGCACAAAATAGGATCTCAAGAAAATGATAGAGTACTTGTATTCCACTGCGGTTACAGGTGCTAACTACGATGATGCGGCGCTGTTGTGTCTACTTTGGTTCCTCCCCGGGCGCGCATTGGACCTCAAAATTCTGCGGAAGGCGAACCTGTCTATTGGCTCGGGCGACATATTCTTCGTCCGTTTTATTCGCATCAAGACTTCGGAAGAGCAAGGTCTCTCGCTCTTTCCTGAAAAAGACTTCGCCATGTGTCCTCTACTTACCATTTCAATTGCCCTTGTGACCTACTAATCGCCTAATATATCAGTACTAAGTCAGATCCCTGAGCGGCCGGCTGTCTCGCAGTCCACGTTGGCCCCGGCAACTTTGCTCATCGATGTGCTTGGTAACCCAGAGGATATGGTATCTTTGAAGGACACGTCTTCCGCCGCTACAAAGAAGGATAACATCCCAGACACCGCTCCTGGTGTTCACAGCTACTTCAACAGTGTTCTTGATCGGATCGCGGTAAAAGCAGGCGTATCCGAGCGCTTGACATCTCACTCTTTTTGGCGTGGAGGGGGACAGCATGCAAATGAGGCCGGGTTGTACGTACAGTGGATCTTTTACTTAGAGGCGTGACATGATATTGTAGGACAAGTCCTTCGCGTACGTCTTCAATATACCGTTTAAAGACCATATGGCTGCTCGGGTCTTGAGTGGGTAACACCCTGATGCAGTCGTCTCTCTTCTATTGCTCGATGTATTAGATTCCTACACTCAGACAAAGTAACAGCCTGTTGCGAAAGCGCTCATTAACGCGTCTCACGGCCTAACGACTCCATAGTACAAAGTGAAGTGAAGGGTGCTTGAAACGCTTATCGCTTACCTGATGCGTCAATATGCATCATAGAAGAGTTTCAAGGAAGACGTGTAGTCACACGTATGGAAGAGTGCGTAATACGGCAAGGTTACTCCATCAACGAGATTCTAGCTTGGTCATCGCATCTTGCCTGCAACACGGGAAGAAGTCTGCAACCAAACCCCATCAAGGCTCAGCCAGGCACGAGAAACGTAACGAAACACCCAATATTGTAGTGAATCCGCCTTGGTTGAAAAATTAATACAGCTTAATCACAAGCTCGACTATCGCATGTCAACCCTGGAAGCTAAATTCTACAACAAGGCATAGCATAAAGATACAAACGAGTGAAGTGATGATACAAGCGATGAATTAACAGCAAAAAGATGCCGAATGAGTAGATCAACAAACCTGAAGGAAGTATGGTTTTACTGGTATGCTCAGGAATCCCAAATTTTAAATCCGTCCGATAGCTCCAGCAAGCGCACATGATCCACCTTCAAACTGGTGGCTGCATATACGAAGATTTTTCTTGATGATGGCTTCGTAATTGACGAAAGTTTCATTGTCATGTATGCAATCAAAGCTTCAATGTCATCCATAGTTCTACCATGACATAGAAAGCACAAGCCACGGATCAGTTGGTAGCATCGGTCCGTAAAGATGTCTGCCATTTGTTCATCAGATGGCTATCTGATGAACTTCACGGGGAGTTCACAAGCGTGAGGGTGCTCTACATTGAGTGGGATAGCTATACTCGCGTATCGTCGTTTTAAGGATAGCACGAGAACACAGTGTAGCTAGTTTGCACTGTAAAGCAATCTTCTTGATGATGTATTGGAACACAGGCAGAGGCGAGTGTCCACCACTGGATCAAGTCGAGTGGAATGGGTCATGTATGCATGCTCAGCGGGCAGCCTCCAAGTAAAAGTAAAACGGTTTCCCAGAAGCGGCAACACGGTAATCCTAGGTAGACTGGAGAGTCGATCGTAGAGGATCTGGATCTGGCGGTGTAACATATTCGGAAGACTTCGTGGGATAAGTTTCACGCAATTGAGGAAGAAATTCCTCAAGCATTACTTGATGAGGGAACAAGTCCTTAGCGACCTGAGGAAGTAATTACCCGTCAGCCTGTGGGGTAAATGATCCCAGGAAGTTATCGAGACTCTGGATGTCTTGTTAAATGACGGATCGAGCGTATAAGAGCCTACGCTTGATCTTGTAGCACATCCGAAGTTGACTTCGTAGATAACTCAAATGCCAACGTTAAATTAGAAACGGTGCAAACGTGATATGCGCCATGGAAAGACCAGCAGATATGCGCATTCGTCACAGAGAACGAGTTTGTGGCAGATATTCGGTCGGCAACAGTATTTGCTGAGAACGAACGGGCTCTCAGCAGCTCATCGATGGACGAAAGTGTCCTCAATCAGAAGAATTGACTAAGGGATGCACCTCTCAATCCTGGGAGTGTCTTGCGGCATATCCTTTGTATATAGATTTGTTCGACAATCAAAGATATCTTTCCCGATCCAGTACCGTTCAAGCTATCAACGTATAAAGTCACTTGACACAAAACCGCGATAAAACCGGGCTTGAAGAACTGTGTCATGAAGCAGCGGCTACTGTTTCTGTGAAAAAGTACGAGAGATCGACAAGTTCTTTGCCGATCGCTTCGTAGAGGTCCAAGTGAGGGAGTCAACTCCCCCACATAGTTCTCGAAATACTGTGTGCGTAAAACCACAGGTGAGTGGCGGATTGTGCACGCATTCAACAAGTTGAATGCTGCAACGAAACCGGATCAAACGCCAATACCGAGGAAGGACGTAATTACAGATGGTATGTCAAATAGTACCATGTTTTCGTATATGTACTGACGTATGGCTTTTATCGGATCCTCATGCGTGAACGGGGAATCCCGTACACGGCCGTAAGCACTCCCAGCAGTATACTCTGGATGTAGATAGTGATACCACAAGGGATAAGCAAACTACCTGCCGCATTCAATAGATGTGTGACAAA